CTGTGGACAATCACCAAAGAACACTGTGAAACTGAAATGGGATAGCAGTCAGAGGTGCTTTGCATGCCTAGCCCCTCTCCTTCTGCAGGTCTCAACATAAACACTGCCTCCCCATTTCTCTCTTCTCACATTATCCTCTTGACTTCTTCCTTAGCAGTTATTGAAACCTGAAATCACTGTTTTGTCTTTCCCCAACTGAATGTCAGCTCCGTAAGAGCAGGGATTATGGTTTTCTGCTCACTGCTGAGACCCTAGAGCCTAAACCAAAGTCAGTACCAGGCACAAAGCAGGCACTTAATATATTATGCTGTAATATATATTCTTTTATAATCTGTCTTTCACTTAATTCCCTCTTCAGTTTTGCCTAATCTGAGGTTAAGTTTGTCCAAATTCTTTTTCTTTTTCCTTTTTGGTGGGACTGGGGTTTGAACTCTAGGCTTTGCACTTGCAAAGCAGGAGTTCTATCACTTGAGCCACACCTCCAATCCATTTTGCTCTGGTTATTTTAGAGATGGCATCAAATTGCTATCCTCCCAATCTCAGCCTCTTAAATTGCCAGGAACACAGGCGTGAACCACTGGCACCTGTCTATCCACCAAATTCTTCCCTTCTATTAATTGTGTTTCTCAATTCTGGAATTTCCATTTGGTTCTTTTTTTTTTTTTTTCCATTTGATTCTTTAAAAAATAATTTCCAGTCCTTTATCTTGTCTTATATGACTTTGACTATATCAGGCATAGTTATTTGAAAGTTTCATTGATAATTCCATTATCTGGGTCTTCTGTGAGACTCTATTATCTGTTGCTTCTCTTGTTTTATGTTTGTTTTTTGTCATGTTGTCTTCAATATCTGTGAGGGCCAGGCTATTATTTCCTATTCACTCTTACTCAAGTGTAACCCCTCATGCTCCCAACCCAAAGGCAAGTTAGGGAATCTTGTCACAGCCTCCTTTCTCTATGGAGAAAAATTACACTTTTTCTCCATAAATTTATAGAAAGCTTGGCTCAGTTTCTTAGCTGTCTTTTCTGGAAGTGGCAAATACTTTCAGGAGAAAAGCAGCCAAATGCAAAGCTCTCCTCTTTCACAACCTCTCCCCGACCACACCCCAGATTCTTTCCTCATTGGAAACTCCTCAAAATGGAGTCTGCTACTGCCCACATAACTGTCTACTGAACTAATGAATGCAGGCAGGCAGGGATTGGTGGCAGGAGTGGATGCCTTATATTCAGTCATTCTTTGGAGGTCCTTGACACCTATCTGTGCCACGTTCTATGCTATGCTGAGTTGCAGAGGTGACAAGTTCTACACCAGACCACATCATGAGCAGACACAAGCTTTAGAGCAGTAGTCAACAGAAGGGGCTCTTGGACCAGGCACCAGTGGCTCATGCCTATAATCCTAGCTACTCAGGAGGCAGAGATCAGGAGGATTGTGGTTCAAATTCAGACAAGAAAAACAGTCTGCGAGACCCTATCTCGAAAAAAACCATCATGAAAAAGGACTGGTGGAGCAGCTGAAGGTGTAAGCCCTGAGTTCAAGCCCCAGTACCACACCAAAAAAAGGGGGGGTGGGGGATCTTGGAATATGAAGGAACCACACTCCATCTTGATGGAGATTTGTAAGGGAAGCAGAAAGCAGAAAGTTTTCCTGAGGAAGGGCTTGTACACTAAACCCTGCATAAAGAAGTGTTGGCCAGGTAACATAACTAGAGGAGGGCAGAGGAAATACATGGTGTAAAAGAGCCTGGGACATCTGGAGCAATGCAAAGTGTGTGTGGTTGAAAACTAGGATATGGTGTGTGCATGGGGTGGAGGAGGATGGTATGGAGCAAGGTGTGAGGCTGGGGAGGAAAGCAGGGCCTTGACTGTCACACTAAGGATTTGGTCGCCATACCTGAGGAGGGTCAACAGGAGTGTGGAATGAGATTTCTTGCCTTGTGAGTTAAGGTTCAGGAATCAGTTCTAGAGATGTACAATGGAGCACAGGCAGTGGAAGGTCTAGACTCCACCACAGACTTGCCCTCAGTTTTCCTTTCTCTAAAATGGGGGTTTCCTAGAGCTCTCTCAGCTTGGTGACTAGAGTTCTGTCTATGCCAATGTTAAGACAGAATATAGTTTGGTGCCAGTGGCTCACGCCTGTAATCCTAGCTACTCAAGAGGCAGAGATCAGGAGGATTGCAGTTCAAAGCCAGCCCTGGGCAAATAGTTCTCGAGAGCTAATCTCAAAAAAAACTCACAAAAAAAGGGCTGGAGGAGTGGCTCAAGTGGTGCCTGCAAGCATGAAGCCCTGAGTTCAAACCCCAGTACTAAATAAAAAAAAAGAAAAGAAAAGAAAAGAAAAAAGACAGAACATAGCTCCTCAGAGGGCAGGAGAGGAAAATGTTTGAAGCCTCTACTTTCTTTCTTAGATATGGACAGACTCCAGATGTGCCTCCAAGTCCTGGTGACCCTTAAAGACCCTGCCTACCTCTAGCAGCAGCCCTGCCTTACACCACACATTCTCAGGATGTAGGAAAGAAACTTTGGGGGTTACAAGAAAATGTTTATAAGGGGAGCTCAGTGACAGAGCACATGTTTAGCACATGTGAGACCCTGGTTCCACCCCAGCACCAGAAAAATAACTAATTCAAGAAATAAAAATATATTTAAGCCCAGCATTTAAGTGTCTTCCCATGCATCCCTAGCTGGAGGAACTCCCTTTGGCAGCCCTAGGGCTCAGACTTTGTCTTCTTCACAAGTGGTGAAAAGACTGCCCAGTGATGGGTCCAGTTTCCAGCACAGCAAGCTTCATCTTCAGCCTGGCCTCCTGTCACCTGGGCCAGTGCTTGTCTAGCACCTGCTTCTTCTCTGGCTCCCAAGCACCCCCAGAAAGAACCTGAGAGACTTGGGGGAAAGAACAGATAGGGACAGAGAGTGAAGGATAGGTAAGTGCCTCTCTCACTTCTCTCCCTACCTGCCTGCCCCACCTCCACTTCCTGTTTTTCTATCCCCAGTCTTGACTCTCACTTCTTTATTCTTTTGAGTTGGCATTACTCTGACTTTACCTAGGCTTGTGACACAAGGGAAGTACTGGGGAGTCCCCTTTACCATCTGGCATTAAATAAGATGCCAAATAGACTAAGTCAGGAGAGTGGGTGAGGCAGGAGCTGAGCTGCAAAGTTCTGTGGAGCAGGACAGGGAATCAAGACTTAATCAGTGAACTCCAGAGCAGCTCCAGAGTTTACCTAGGTGGCCATGGTTTCAGATAGACCCTGACTCAAGTTCAAAGGAGACTGGCTCCACCATTTAGGACCTTGGGCCTATCAGTCAACCGGGGATAATTATTAAGCCTGCTGCTTGGCATTACTAACCAAGCAGCTTTGGGATTAATCTCATCTTCACATCCCTAGCTGCCACATCCTGGCCACTACACTTTAGTCATCTGTTTGTCTCTCCACTAGCCCCACTCTCGTCCCTCCTAGATTGATACAAATGGCCCATCTGCCAGCATCTTCATCCAAAACACAAAATTCTAGGTCTTAAGAAACTTCAAAATCATCCACTTCTACCTTCTCACTTGAAACAAGGAAGCTGAGGCCCAGAGGTATTGGGGCCTGGCTCAAAGTTAGTCCATTGCCTCCTGATTTTCACAGAAACCTACTTCCCCTTCCTGAATCTAAGTATGCTCCAAGACTTCATGCAGAATCTGAAGTTCCACCCACAACCTTACTCAAAACATACATTTATCCCAATCTTTCTTTCAGCTCCTCTCTTGCCCCAATCTTCAAAAAAAAAAGAACCCACAGTTCTTACTCTAGAGATGATCCACTTTCAGTATATTGAAAGTGTATTCCTGCCCAGCACCAGTGGCTCACACCTATAATCCTAGCTAGGATTGCAATTCTAGGTCAGCCCCGGGGAAATAGTTCTAGAGACCTTATCTGGAAAACGCCCAACACAGGTGGGTGCCGGGAGCTCACATCTGTAATCCTAGCTACTCAGGAGGCAGAGATCAGGAGGATCGAGGTTCAAAGCCAGCCAAGGCAAATAGTTCACAAGACTCTATCTCAAAACACCCATCGCAAAAAAAGGGCTGGTGGAGTGGTTCAAGGTGTAGGCCCAGAATTCAACTCCCAGTATCACACACACACAAAAAAAAATGCCCAACATAAAATAGGGGTGGCAGAGTGGATCAAGTAGTAGAGTACATGCATAGCATGCATGAGGTCCTGAGTTCAAATCTCAGTACTGCCAAAAGAAAGTGTATTCCTTTCCTAATAAGCTTCACTATCAATTTCACTATATATATTAAAAAAAAAATCTTCACAAACCATTTATATAATATTTACTAGTGTTGCCTCTTTTAATATGAATTGTAGCCAGGTATGATGGTGCACGCCTATAATCCCAGCACTCAGAAGGCTGAGGTAGGCAGATAGTGAGTTGAAAGCCCACCTGGGCTACATAGTGAGACCCTGTCTCTAAATAAATAAATAAAGGCACTGTGCTCTTTTGAATAGCTACCTGATATTCTATCCCCTTTAAATGGCATCCTAATAATTCTTTGCCTTTTCCTACACAATAAATAGATAAAGTAAAATGTGCTATTATTGCATTTGATTCTCCAGCAGCAACCTTAATACCAGGCTCAGACATACAGTTTTGGACCTGGAATCTCAGAGTTGTCAAGTGATTTAACCATGATTCTACACTCAGGATGCATGATTCCAAGCCCAGGGTCCTATTTACTGCCCCCCTTGGATTGCCTATCCCTCCATTCCCAGGGACTTGGTCCACTCCCTAGATACACTGCATCTACAGGGCCTTGGAACCTAGAACCTAGTTTTCATCTGTAGGAAGGAAGCAGCTCCCCAACCCGCCCCAAGGCCCTCCTTCTTTCTTCTATCCCTCCTACCTTTCCTGCCTCTCAGTTCAAAAGCAACCGAGCTGAAAGAGACCTGCAGACAACCCTGAGCTCATCTCCCAAAGCTGCTACTGAGGGCCCAGCAAGATCCTCCCAGAATGAATGGCTTCCTCTTCCTCCTACTCACTATCAGCCTCCTGGTCATGATTCAGGTAAGTGCAGCCCCCAGAGCCCCTGGTACCACTTCAGGACTCCCTTGTCTTGGTATGGGTGGGAGGGAATGCAAGATCCTGGGGGCCCAGCCTTCTCCCATAGGGGCAAAGGCAGATGTGCCCCCTCCAGCAGGGAACCTGGGACACCAGAGCCTGCCTGCCAGGGCTTAAGCCTACCTGACCGCAATTAGACTGCCACAGGCTGCCCGAAGTAGAAGCCTGTTCCCATCTGAAGAACCTCACAGGTACATGGGAGCCTAAGGTGTGCTTTGCAATACCAGGGAATGAAAAAGGCGTGAGGACACAGCTTGATGAGGATGGAGTCAACCCACAGGGAGCCAATGGAAACGTTGGTGGAGGGGGGGCAAGGAAATGTCCAGCAGAGCTCGCTCTGCTTCTGGAGGTGTTAAGGGTCCACCACCATCAGGGAGAAGCCTGGACATGCGAGAATGAAGACAGAAATCTCTCATTCAGTCTCAAAATTAATGGCATTCCAGGAGGCAGCTTTGGTGGCTCCCAAGTGTCCTGACGGGCCTGGTCAATACAGGAGACAGGAGCCATCAAGTTCTTGATCAAGAACAACTTGATCAAGCATCAAGGACAGCTCAGTCACCACCCAAGACAGTTTAATTGCCATCTGAGCAGTTTCAGTTGCAGCTCAATCAAGCATGAAGGACAGTTTGTCACCACCCCACCCACACTTTGCTGAGGCCTTGTTCACTCAGCCCTGTTTCATGTGACCCTCGTTGCTAGGATGGGCTCCTCTTCTCCCCCTTCAGAAGACAAGGAAACTGAGGCTTGGGGAGGCTGAGAACTTTGCACGGGTAGTAAGGTCAAAGCCTGGAGCTCTTCTGAGGCTCTCTATGCTGGAGGAGCTGGTGACATGGGAGAGGTGAAAGGAAGATACAGAAGGGGACAGGGACCACCTCTGTCACTGCCTGTGTCAAGGCAGGAAGCAACTAATCACCCCCCAGGGCCTATGTGTGTGGCGGGGGGCCGGGGGTGGGGGGTGGGGGGGGCGGGTTGCATCCTCAACAAACAAAAGAGCCCTGAGAGCTGGGGGCATGGCACCTGATTAGCAAGCATAGGCCCTGAGTTCAAACCCCATACCAGCACAAAAAAAAAAAAAAAAAAAAAAAGCCTCCTGACTGTCTTCCACTTCTCTTGCAGATACCAACTGGAGTTTTGGGAAACCAGACTACTGCCGCCAGCACCACCACCACCACCACCAAGACCGTCACCTCCACCAAAGCCAAACCTACCAAAATCAAACCACGCAAAAGTGGGGTTCCAGCTCTCAGCAACATGGGTGGTGGCACTTTTGTTTTCTTCTTGACCACCACCCTTATCCACCTCTTTTACCTCAGCTGAGGTGACAGTGTCACCTCCAGCCCAATGCCCCCTTGAAACAGCTGCCATTGTCAGAGACACCCCCAATCCATGGGAGGGTGGTGGGGGCAATGGCCCAAATGGGGAGGTAATTATGTCAAGGGGAAGTACCACACATCTGGGAGGGATATCAATAAAGTTTTCCTAAAGTTTTTCTTGGACTTGGAGGGAGCTCTATGTGTGGTCATTGGTCATCACCGGGCCCCAAGAACCATGTGGGAGCAAGACCAAGGAGCTTCCTATGGCCCCATTAGCCGAGAAGGTGGCACTAGGCACACCCCTTGGCTTCCCTACCCCAAGATCCTCTCAGAACCACTTTACAGAAACATGGTCCAGAAACTTCCACCTTTACTGTCCCCTTTAGTTGCTTGTCCCTGAGTATTTGGGGGTGAGGGTCCCAGAAATTCCATACCCAATCCCCAGATGCTGGACAACCCCAGGCTTAGGCAGTCCCCACCCAGTACCTAGCTGTCCTCAGAATGACAGATTCAAGAAGAGTCCCAGACCTGGGAGTACCCCTCCTTCCTGTCTCTCAGAGTCCCCAGAAAACCAGCTCAAAGCTACCTGTGCTTACATCTCTGACCACTGCGGACCGGAGGATGAGGAGGCAGCTAGTTACTGAGTGGATCAACAGCCACTCTAACCACTCCTAGCCCTCCAGGGTTTGGAATGTTGGTGTGTAGAGCTACAAGGAGGAAAGGCAGCCCTAGAGCAGCCCCCAAGGGCCCTTCCACCTCTGCCTTTTTCTGAAGACCTCAGCCGAAGGACTGAGATGTGACCACAGCGCTGGGTCTGGGTCCCTGTCCTGGCTTCTTTGACTGAGGCCACATCTTCAGGCTTTGAGACCTGAGTTGAGGCACGTGAAGGACAGTCCTGGAGATGATGCCTTCCCCTCATCTCTCTTGCCCAGCCCTCGGTGTCCCCACATGCTGAACTTCGAAGTTTTCACCCCTGGACTTGTCTGCCACCCTCCAGCTTTATGCCTTCCTATCCTGTGCATGGCAGCTGAGGGTCCTTCAGACAGGAGGGTCTATGCATCTACTCTGTGCAGCCCTCCATTTCTTCCCATGTCACTGAATGATCCCCCTGCCCTCTGGAACCCTCCACTGGACTGAGTGTTCCCTGATGGCAGGGACACCAAGGCTTTGTTCAAGCCTGTGCCCTGACAGCCTGGGACCAGACAGCACAAAGCAGGCTCAGAACACATCATTTGAGTGATGCTTACAAGTTAGTCTGGTCCCAGGGCTCCCCCTGTTGGCACAGGGAGGCCTTACACCTAAGCTCCTCCCTCCTCACCCGACCCTCCAAAAGAAAAGCCCATGGATAATCCTCATCCTCAACCCCAAACATCAAGGCGCAGAGATAATGACACCTGGCAGCATATTAGAAAATTGCTTATGTTACAACAAAAACAAAAAAACATTTCATCCCAGCAAAACCTGGGGCTGGGGAAGGAGGAAGGTTCAAAGTAGGTGGATGGTCCAGATCTGAGATGGCCTGTCCTTGGCCAGCTCCCACAGCACCACATGGTCCCGGTCATAGCCTCGGCCACCTGGAGGGCAGAGTGATGGGGGACTTAGAGGTGGTCAGAGAGCACGGAGGACAACACTGGCCTCAGCCTCCAGGTGTCCTCTCCCATTCACAGCCCACAATTACCCTTCACATCCAGGATCCAGCCCTCAAACATCTGGCTGCAGATGTGGCCCAATTCATTGATGCTCCACGTCTGGCGTGGCAGGCGGCTCTCAGCCCACAGCACCACCTTGGAGCCTGGGCTGGGAGGTCCAATCACCTGTAGGCTCATGGTGGGGGCCACCTGAGGCCCCAAGAGGTCATTAGGTACTGTTTTCCCTAGAAGGACTCCCCCATACCCAAGCCACCCTTCATAAACTGGGTTAAATCCTGGTTCTTATGGACTGTGACCCAAGGCAAGTCTTCATTCTTCTCAGCTTCACTTTCTTTGGGAATGGGAATCACTGAATACTAGTTTTTGAGGGTTTATCATGACAAACTGTAAATGGGATGGAAAAATATTAGCGCCTCCAGGAAGTCTTCTATGATTGATCCCCAAAGCGTAGGCTTTAACATCAAGCAAATCTCAGCATAGTCCCTGCTCAGCCCCTGAGTCATACCTGGTTCTTCAGCAGCCCATCCTCATAGTACCAGATGCAGCTGCCCCCAGCTTGAGGCTCAGAAACAACCACACGGCCTGCCTTCATATCCTCCACGTGGTCTGGCACTGCCAGGAAACCCCCCAGTGCTGCATTCCAGAGGCGGAAGTAGGCTCGGCGCTGGTGATGGGGAGAGGTTGAGAGTCGGGGGTTCCTAGGCAGGGGTGCCCCACCACCCATAACTCTGGGCCCTTTGTGCCCTCCTTCCTGACCCCCAAAATTTCCATGATCCTACTTCTAAGTAATTCCTTGCTTATACACACACATGCACAGTTCTGTGTCCATAAATACCCACAGATGTATGCAGAGACACCCTGACAGGTACGCCCATGGTCCATCAGGTGGCACAGAAGTTCACAAAAGACACACCACACTTACACGCAGACTCACACATCCTAGCTGTCACCCAGGTCCACCAGCTTACTTCATGCCAGGTACTTACGTTTGCTTTAAGGACAGATGTGTGTAGGGATATAGATGTGCACACACATGCTTACAGAGAAAAATGCTTGCACACAGCCATGCAAGCAGGCCATGTGGGGTGGCACTAGACCATCAGATATCAGACCTGCCTCTACCACAAATCAGCAGGGGTCTTGGCTAAGAGGGGTGGTAATAACAACCACAGCTCACGTCTGCTGAGTTGCTGGGTGCTTCCCACTCAGGTACCAGTCTAAGGGTTCCACATACATGACAGGTCTTCAAACAAACCCATTTTAAAGATGAGGAAACAGAGGTCCCTGGAGGGATAGTACTTGCCCAAGACTGCAAAGCAAATCCTTGTCCACTTCTCTGGGCCTTTATTTCCCCATCTGTAAAATGTGAGGGTTGGAGATAACCTCCAGGATTTCTTCTGTGAATAGGGGCCACACAAACTATGCAGACAGACACATTCACCAAGGTCCCCAACACAGTTGTGAGTGCTCCTGGAGACAGTACACAGCACAGATGCTTGTACACATACATGTACATACATACAGAGATCACCTCCAGAGCACACAGACACATGGCCACATATGACATCATGAGCACAGAAATACCCTCAGATGGACACATGTGTACACACACACACACAGCCCCCAGCTGTGTTGCACCACAAATGCATGTGTGCAGAAATGAGACCCAAGCACAGTCACTCATGTGCAGACCCCTTGTTTTCCAAAATGAGGTATGCTTACTGTGGGTAGGGAAGGGGTATATGAGAGAGTTTTCAATCCTGTGTAGACAAGCTTATCTACATATGCAACAAACTTGTGACTTTACGGATATTATTCCTTAGGACAAAGACAAAGTAAAAAAACAAGAGAGTTGATTTAGAGAAAACTATTAAGTAGATGATGGTTCCAGAAGGAAGATGATGGGGCAAAGTTGTGACAAAAGCACACAAATGCTGATTTTGGGAAACACACTGACACACACCTAGACAGGCACACATAGGGACAGGCCCACCCTGACATGCTTACCTGCTTGATGGGGTAGAGGGAGCCTACCCTCTGGGTGCCACTGTAGGTCAGCCAGTTGGTGATCTCACAGCTGCCCACCAGCCACTGGCGGCCTCGGAAGTCGCTATGTTCACAAAGCACCCAACTGCACCCAGCAGGTGCCAGAGACACAGAGAGGAACACAGACAATCAAGGTAGAGAAATAATCAGGAACCTCAGAACAATATCCAACTCCTCTCTCTCATGTGGGGCCAAGGGGGAAAAGGAGGCTGGGATGTAGATTTGGGGTTTGCAGGGCAAAGTGGGGTCCTGAGAGGCCCATGGAGCTGGGGTGCAAGCCCTGAGAGCCAGAGACCCTCTCAGTCTGAACTTCCCCCTCCTTCCTGGACTGGAGGGGAAAGGAGAAGATGTAGGGAGGAGAGAAAAACCTTTGGGTTCCCTATCCTGAGAACTATCCACCAGCACTAGCAGCCCCTGAACCCTTTGTGCCTCCCCACCATACACTCACACGCCCCCCTTGATCCGCACGGACAGCACGTGATTGTTGAAGCCCTCAGCCTGCAGGCTCCGCACTTCCCCACTGAGTTCAATCTCCTTCCCCTCGAAGCACTCCAGGGCATACAGGAAAATGGCAGGCTCTGAAAAGTGCTGGGGTGGGTGGAGGAAAGGTGAGGCCACCAGAGCCCCAGGCCTAGGCTGTTTCACATCCCAACAGGTGCCCTCTTTGCACCTGAGAATGCTCATTGCTAGAAGTTATTCCCAGATTCTCAATCCCAGCATATGACAGACTGCCCCAGTTTCCCCCTCAAACATCCTTTCTGGTAAATGGCATTTCTAAAAACTATCGCCAGGGTGGAAACATGAGACTTATTCTACAGCTTCTCTTTTACATCCTCACAATGACAGTAACTGTAACGATAACAGCAGGAATAACAGCTGTTCTCATTTACTGGGCCTCATTGCATGCCAGATCCTGAGTTGAACATTTTATCTGATCTCATTATAACACCTCAACAACTCTCTAAGGAAGATGCTATCACAATCACTCAGGGCCTACACCTTGAGCTACTCCACCAGCCCTTTTCTGTGATGGGTTTTTTGTGATAGGGTCGCACAAACTATTTGCCCAGGCTGGCTTTGAACTGCAGTCCTCCTGATCTCTGCCACCTGTGTAGCTAGTATTATAGGCATGAGCCACCAGCACCCAGCTTCAAAGAGGACTTCTTAAAGGAGGGAATTCATAATGACGATCCCTGTTTAACAGAGGGGAAACTGAGGCTGGAGAAAGTGAAACTGCTTGTTCAGGGCTCCAAAGCTGGGCTTCAGACCCTGGTCCATCTGTCCTCAGAGCCCCATGTGTAGTGATAAGGGCTTGGATTTCAGAGTCGGCTGCCCGGGGAGGTGTCTGCGGTGCCTGTTACTAGCTGTGTGACCTGTGACTTACAGGGCATCTCCGTGCTTCAGTTTCCATATCTAGTAACAGTAGCATGCCTCACAGGGCTATCAAGAGGTCGAAGGGCTTCATATGTGGAAAGCCTACTCTTTCTGTGTGCCCAGGGAAGGTCAGCTGTTCTGACCAGTACCACCCAGTCCTACAGTTGCTAGTACCTTAGTAAAGCCCGTGTCACTTCTGTCCATCTCTTCCCTGGTCCAGACATCAGCTCTCATTCTGGGTCACTGAGGCAGCCTACCCGTTAGCTTGTCCTCCTCCTTGCCTTCCCCCTCCTATCTACCTGCTGCAGTGCCATCTTCCCAGTTGATTCTGACATCCCCCACCCCCCCCACAGACTGTCCCTTGGGTATTGCTGCTCCTGACCCCAAGCCCTGAACTGCCCTTCACTGTAACCTTCAGATCTGTGTAACCATGGGCTCCTTGTGGCAAGACTGTATCTGATTTGCTCTGTGTCCCCAGGACCTATCTCAGTGGATACTCAGTAAACATCTAGTAAGCTGAACTAACCCAGGGTCAAGGGTACCTGGGACAGTCCTGGAGAAGTCTGCAGTCAACCCTCATCAGCCCACCAAGCACTGAGACAGGATTCTGTGCCCAGGACTCCCCCAGCAGGACTCCCTCTGCTTCCAGGGTTGCCTGGAATGGGGCACTCACCAGGGGGACCTTCCGAAGAGAGCCCAGGACGGTGGAGGCCAGGCAGCCCATGGCCGTGAGAGTGGGGAACTCCCCCTCAGAGAGAATGTGCTGGTCCCCCTCAAAGTTCTTCTCATCAAACAGGATCCAGCTGTGGGTGTGAGAGGGAAAGAGTGAAGTAAGGTGAGCAATCACCTGTGCCCACCCTATTCTAGGCCTGGTAGCCCACTCTGAGAGCCAAGAGTGGTAGCAGAATTGATGGTACCCCCCTACCCCCCCAGTCCAGGATGAACAGACATTGCAGAAGCAGGCACTGAGGTCAGACTTAGGAAAGGACTGAAGGAACTCATACTGCCCCATTGGTAGGGAATTCAGCAATGTCAGGCAGTCACTCAGCAATTTCGTATCTACGAGTCTATCTCAAAGACAACCTTCAAAAACATGATACAACACATGTGCAAGGCTATACATTATAGCACTGTTTGCAACAACAAAGAGTGGAAAGATAGCCCGGCATTGATGGCTCACGCCTATAATCCTAGCTACTCAGGAGGCAGAGATCAGGAGGATTGCGGTTCGAAGCCAGCCTGGGCAAATAAATTGTGGGACCCTATCTCAAAAAACCCTACACAAAAAAAAGGACTGGTAGAGTGGTTCAAAGTATAGGTCCTGAGCTCAAGCCCCAGTACTGCAAAAAAAGAGTAGAAAGAACACAAATGTCCATCAGTGGAGAACTGGTTAAATAAACTGTACAATTCAGCAGTTTTTAGTGTATTCATTGGGTTCTAGTAAGAGAATGGGGGAGGGAAACAAAATATATTTGGTTTCTAGAATTATATGAAAATTTATATGTGAATGTATGTTAGCTTATATCTTCAAAAAGAAACAATGGATGAGTAAACCAAACACTAAAAATATGATTCCCTATGGGAGAGAAGGGGAAGGTGGTAAGAACAGATATACAAGCTTTGACTTTAGAATTACTATTGACTGAATATTTGTGTCTCCCCCCCCAAAAAAAAATCATATATTGAAGCCCTAATCCCCAAGGTAATGGTATTTAGAGGTACAGCCTTTGGGAGGTAATTAGGTTTAGACAAGGTCACAAGGGTGGGACTCCGTGATGGGATGAACGTCCTTAAAAAAAAAAAGAAAGGAAAGATAACAGGAGTTCTTCTCTCTCTCTCTCTCTCTCTCTCTCTCTCTCACACACACACACACACACACACACACACACACTCCTATGTGGGGACACAGCAAAAAGGTGGCCTTCTGTGAGCCAGTAAAGAGAGACCTCACTGGGGAACTGAACTGGCCAGAACTTTGCTCTTGAACTTGACTCCAGAACTGTGAGAAAATAAACTTCTGTTCTCTAAGCCACACGGTCTGTGGCATTTTGTTAGAGGAGCCTGAATTAAGATGGAATTAATGTAAACATTTTATGTAACAGAATTAAGACCTGGGGGTGTAGCTTGGTGGTGGAGTACTTGCCTAGCATTTGTGAGGCCCTGGGATCAATCCTGAGCACTGACAATTGACAGACAGATAGATAGACAGATAAACAAATAAAAATATTCCTAAAATTAGAAATAAATTAAACTAATGAATCTAATTATGTACCAGGTTGGCAACATTAACTACACAAACAAGCATTATTTCAAGTGTCTTTAGAACATAGTATTTTGGGTCCGGGAGAATGTGGCTGAAATGGTAGAGTGCCTACCTAGCAAGCACAAGGCCCTGAATTCAAACCCAGGATAGGCTGGGCACTGGTGGTGGGGTCATGCCTATAATCCTAAATATTCAGGAGGCAGAGATCAGGAAGATCACAGTTTAAGGCCAGCCCAGGCAAATGGTTTGTGAACCTATCTCAAAAATACCCAATGCAAAAAATAGCTGGTAGAGTGGTTCAAGTGATAAGAGTGCCTGCCTAGCTGGTATGAGGCCTTGAGTTCAAACCCCAGTACTGCAAAACAAAACAAAACAAAAAAAGCATACTACTTTAAATAATATGTAAGTATATGTATATATACATATACACACACATATATATAATATATAAATATATAAGGATGTAAGTGAATGTTTTGAGGACAAAAAGAACCACAAAGAAACCTCAAACATCTTTCGGTGTTTTTTTCAGTGGTAATACTGTCATTGTCATTTTGAAACAACTAGCATGCAGATTTAGATCTCTATAGACCATTTTCCTTTAAAAGGTAACAAAGTTGCCTGGGAAATGGCTCATTCCATGTTGGGGCAAGTAGCCAGGCACAGGTGGCTCATGCCTATAATCCTAACTACTTGGGAGGCTGAAATCAAGGTTCAAGGCAAGCCCAAGTGAATAGTTCTCAAGACACCATCTCCAAAATAACCAGAGCAAAATGGACTGGAAGCATGGCTCAAGTGGAAGAGCATCTACTTTGTAAACATGAAGTACTGAGTTCAAAACCTCAGTCTCTCACACTCCAACCCAAGAATAACTACTTCTGGTAGCAGTGGTTTAAACAGAGGTGCACACAACAAGTGGACCTTATTGTTGGGAGCTGTTGCTGTGTCCCTCAAAGTGAATGTGGAGGTTCTATACCCTGCAGAAGAAAAAAAAAAGGAAAAAAACAAAAACAGCCCAACCAAAAAAATAATAATAATAAAAACAAAACACCTGAGTTCCTTATACTACCTTTTTTTTTTTTTTTTTTGGTGGCACTGAAGTTTGAAATCAGGGCCTCACGCTTGCTAGGCAGGCGCTCTTACTGCTTGAGGTACTCTCAGCCACTTCTTATATTACTTTAAAAAAAAAAATCTTCACTGGTCAGCTTTGGAGGTTGCTAGGGTACAAATTCAAAAATTATTCTGGCAATTTATAAAGAAAAAGAGTCAATCGTTGATCCTTCGGACAGGATCAAACTCTTTATTTGTTCCTATATAAACTATTTCAGGTTGCCAAATAGTTGAAAAGGAAAAAGCTCTTCACAGAGGTATTCTATCTAATATATGTAGAAGAAATAACAAAAATTTTAAAAAATCATTGTGCAATAATCTCCAAAGAAATAGTAGATCTAGACAATTATCGGTGGATGCAAATCATAGTTGAAAGGTAATGAAGAGTTGAGCGGAAGCCGGTGGCTCACGCTTGCAATCCTAGCTACTCGGGAGGCAGAGATCAGGGGAGAAGCTGTCCTCTCCCCTCACCCTTCGGACCACGCCCCGCACTCCACTCACTCCACGTCCTCACCTGCCGCCGTGGACACGGCAGGACTGGGGCTGGAAGGTGACGGGCAGAGAGGCCTGGTCATCGTCGAAGGAGATGTGATCACCCAGGCAGTCGGGGCCTGAGAAAAGCTGAATCTGGAGGCAGAGTGGGAGGTGGTGTGGGTCAGAGGAAATGAAGAGGGGTAGCTTTGAAATGAGGTAAGAGGAGATGGGCGCCCCACCAGCTCCCTGCAGAGCCGCCTCCTTACCTTTGAGACGAAGTGCAGGTCGTGCTCCCCTACCTGCAGGGAACGACCAGGGACACTCAAGGGGGATTCCAGATCCTAACCTCTGTTGAGGTTTGAACCCCGCCGCAAGCTCTCGCGCCTCCCAGGCAGGTGCTAACCCGGCCCCCTCCCAGATACCCCAGAGCTCCGGGCCCATTCCGCCACGCCCCCTCTGCAGGGCGCCTCTCGGATGCAAGCCCCGCCCACTTCCAAAGGCCCCGCCCACCACGCCGCACGCACCTGCAGGACCGGCTGCAGCGAGGCGAGGGCGCTGTTGCCCGCGCCCCAGTCGTCGCAGTTGCGGTACACGCCCTTCTCCAGCACGTACTGCTCCCCCGAGAAGCCTACCTGTTCATAGGCCACCCACCTGCAGGAAGGGCGGGGCTCGGGTCAGCAGGGGCGGAGCCGGCACCTCTCTCAGAACCGCCCCCCGCTGGCCCAGTCCCGCCCCACTCCCGGAGCCCACGTCACTCACACGCCGCTGAGCACGTGGATGGCCTGTGTGTGGGGGCCGTGCCGTGCTAGCTCCACGTCTGCCAGTGCCGTGCTCACCTCCACACCGTGCCCCTCGAAGTCCACAGCCTCAAACAGCACCACGGCCGGGTCCCCGAAGTCCTGAGTCCCAAGGACAGTCAAGTCTTTCCCGCCACAAATGGAAACTACTACGAGTTTCCAGACCCCAGGGACGCAGCCCACCCGGTATTAGGAATGAGGCGGTGAGTGTGGCCTGGAGAAGAGCCGCAGGATGGGGAGAGACTAACCCTCAGGGAACACTTTCAAGGAGAAAAGGAAGAGGTACAAATTCTTCCCGCAGATTTCACTGAGGAAATTCTGGCTGGGACCAGAGAAGGAGGGCCAGTCCAGTTGCCCTTGCTTACCGTGCGGATGACACGCAACGAGGTCAGCAGCTCGTCATAGCCGCCCCATCGGGACCAGTCAGCATATTCACCCTCCTCCAGCAAGTATTGGTGGCCCCGGAAGCCCTCTTTCTCATAGCCCACCCAGCTGGGCGAAGGGGGAGGATGGACAAACAGATTCAGTCACAGTAAGCCCATGAATAAGCCGCTCCTACCTCACACAACCTAGGTCCCTCCCCACCCCAAAGGGTAAAGACCGGTAGGCCCAATGAAGTAGAAAGAATTGTCCTAAGTCCTCACCAGCCCCCAAGAATTCGCAGGGACCCCACAGTGGCCAGTTTGGGGCTCTGGATGTCCTCTGGTTGCTGAAGGTTGTAAATATCTCGACTAACTTCCCAGCTCCTGCCCTGAAAACCTTGGGCCTCATACACCACAGCCTGGGGGAAAGAGGGTGTCAGGTTGATGGGGTGTCATCTGGACCCAAACACACCCAAGCCAGCCAGCCCAGGAATGGCTCCACCAAGCATCAGCCCAGAGCTGTCTCTAATGTGGGTCTGGGCCTTACACATCATAAACTGGTTCCCAGTGAGCCCATCAGGTCCTCCTAGGTCCAGCTTCTGGCCCCCAGTCCCTGTCTCCTGTCTTCCAGTTCATGCCACCATGACCACCAGCCCCAACACACCAAAGACCCTTCTTGGCAATGAAGCCCAGTGCCTTACCTTGGGTTCCCCTGGCTTCTCCACACTTGGGCAGCCCTGTGGAAGAGATATTGCTGAGACACTAGCCCAGAGATGGGGGAAGACAAATGGTGTGAGACCTAGAACTTTCTTAATATTGAGGCCTCTAAAAATTTGTTAATACTGAGACCTCTTCCCCACTCCTTGGGACAATCTTCCCTTTCCTCCAGCCCTGATCTGGAGCTCCAGGGGTAGTGTCCAAGGGGCACTTTTCTACACTCATATCCCCCTCTCTTGTCCACACACATAGAGCTACACTACTTGGGACCAGAGGCAGAGTGGCCTGTGGGTGTGCCATGCTCCTTACCAATCTCATGGGCTTCAGGGAGCCCACACTGGGGTCCAGTGTACCCCAGGCCTCCGACGTGGGGTACTCTCCAGGCTCAAGGATGTAAGGGGTGTCTTCGAAGAATGGTTTGGGGTATAGCAACCACCTGGGGGAGGCAGAGAAACCATTGCAACCCCAGGCCCCAAGGGACACAGAATGGAGGAATAGTAGAGCAAGTAGGGGAGGAGCAGGTTTAGGGGGCAGGCTTGCCCAAGGGGACTCAGGAGGACACTTCAGTCTTTGGTCATTTCACAGTAGCCACTCTGTTGGCCTCCCTTCCTCTGGCATGGCCCTCTCCAATGTCATCTGTAGAGTTCTTCACACACACACACCGCTGCTTAAAAACCACCAGTTGATCTTATTAGCTACAGTAAAGCCTGGCAACACAGAGTACCATGATCTTCCTCCCTCCTGAACTCATCTCCCCACCTGCTGTTTATACTGGCCAGACTGGACTTTTTGCTTTTTGGTGCTGGGGATGAAACCCAGGGCCTCACACATGCTAAGTAGGGACTCACTCTACCACTGAGGGATCACTCCCAGCCCCAGATGGAATTTTTGAAGATTCAATCTCTCACCACTGGGCCTTTAAATGTGCTATTCCCTCTACCAGATATACTTTTTTCCCCATTTATTCAATTAACAAATATTAGAATTTACTCTGGGCCAAACCCTGTCTTGGGCATCAGGGATTCAGTACTAAACAAAACATAAATTTCTGTCCTCATGGGGCTTAGATTCTTAGCCAACTCATGCAGGCCAAGATGTCTCCTCCTTCAAGAAGGCCTCTTTGAAGCTAGGCGCTGGTGGCTTATGCCTATAATCCTAGCTACTCAGGAGGCAGAGATCAGGAGGATTGAAGTTCGAAGGAAGCCCAGGCAAACAGTTCATGAGACCCTATCTTGAAAAAACACATCACAAAGAAGGGCTGGCAGGGTAGCTCATGCAGTAAGAGCACCTGCCTAGCATGCATGAGACCCTGAGTTCACATCCCAGTACTACCAAAATAAAAAAATAAGAAGAGGCTTCTTTAACTATTCTTCTGCCCCCACCTTCAGTTGTTACTTTTCTTGTGTTCCCACAATGTGTGCTCCCCCATCCTGGAACTCTGAATTGCTATTATTGTCTGTTTACTTGCCTGTCCCCACCAGAGGACTGGGCACTTTTTTTGCTTTTGAGACAAAATCTTGCTTTGTAGCCCAGCTAGCTTCAAACTCAAGAGCCTCTCAAGTACTGTGATTACAGGCATGAGCCACGGTGCTCTGTTTGAGAGCAGGAACTGTGTCATTGTCACCTCTGTTTCTCCATTACCAACACAATGAATGTTAAACGAAGGAATTCTAAAATAGTTTAGACTCACAGTCCTGAAGAGACACTGGCAGATGCCACCTGCAGGGATCTCTCTAGCCCCTGGGAGTCCTTCAAAGCCTCGGTTAGCTTCACTTGCTCACCGGTGAGACCCTCCTCAGAGAACAGGCTGATCTCCGGGGTGCAGTAATCCTGCAGAAGTGGGGACAATGACATATAAACCAGCTTGGAGACTACCCTACCCCAACCCTATTTTCCCAAATCTGTCCAGCCAAGGCTTCTGGGAAAACCTTTGTGGCTGTCTGTGCAGAAACCAGGAGGGATGGGGTGGCTGGGATATTCTCTGCATGGCCAGCTAGTCAAGCCTGAGACCAAAGTCTTTAATGGTACCTTGCTGGACCTTTGAGACCTGAGACCAAAGGTCCGGGAATCTGCAAAGAGTCCTGCCCTTCCCTTGCCTCTGGGTGGCCTGGCTTCCTACCCAGTGATGGGAGTGGCAAAATGGACAGCCACTTCCTTAGGTCCAACTTTATGTACAATTCTTGCCTCAGTTCATACAGGTATTCTTGGTTTTCCCTGTTTTCTTGTTTGTTTGTCTTGGTGCTACAGATGGAACCGAGGACCTTGTGCACGCTAGCATGCGGTCTTATCACCGAGCTACAGCCTAGGCCCCAGACTGCCTTTGACGGGTGCCTCTACCTCATCCCAGGCAGCAGCAGGTTTTCCCTGCATTCAGGCATTTCTTCCTCACTGGGACTATTTTCATTCACTCACTCACTCATAAATGATTATGAAGCACCTACTGAGTACAGGGCCATGCACTAAAATCACATCCTACCCCATCCCCTTTAATCCTCCCAGTGGGTGTTATCAGTACAATCTCAGGTGAAGAAAGTAAGGCTCAGTGAAGTTAAGCAGCCTGCCCTAGGTCACAAAACTTGTAAGCAGCAAAGCCAAGAACAGAGGAATGTAGTTTTTGTTCAGTGTTGCAACCTAGTACCTCCCACATGCCTGGTACACAGTAGGTGCCCACTCGGTGCTGACTGAATCAAATAATTCTAGGACTGTCTTAACTTCAAAGCTCTTGTTTTTCTCTTGTACCTCATTACCTCCCACATGTGGACGGATTTATTGTGAGCTTCTCACAATAAATCGTCCACAAATATGCGTGTGTTTCTGGAGAGCCTTTGAAAAAGGCCAAGCTGTCCTGGGCTCTCGTCCTACCTAGCTCAGGCTCATCGCTTACCGCTTACCCTGCAGACTGCAACAGCCCAGCCCTCAGTTATTCATCCTCTCATTAAAGTCACAAACAAGCAAAATCCCCAAATGTCTGACGAACCCTGCTTCTAAAGTCATTGCCCTTTCCACTGGGTCTCCCCAGGGGTTAAGATCATTTTATCAAATTTAATTTTGGTAGTTTGTAAATTCAATGCTGTTACTCAGGGAGGAGGGAGGTAAAGGCAGGATTTAGAAGCCAGCCTGTCTCAAAAACAAATGAACTAACAAACAAAAACCAATGCAGTCTGGTTACTGTACATGGTTCTCCTGTGTCAAGCCAGGCCTCAGAGCCTAGCTGGCCATGCATTCTACAGTGCTCTTCCTGCCTGGGGCCTGGCTCACTAGACATGAGCGAGCATCTGTGAACAAGTGAGTGAAAGAGCTCCATGGCACCTTGCCCTGGGTGGTGGGTGCTCCTGTCAAGTCTCTGCACTCTGACCTTGTCCTGCTCACCCTTCCCCAGGCTACCTTCCTGAGGGCATGGACCAGCCCTGCATTGCCTCCCCATCACATTGAGCACTCCACAGTGCCTCCAAGGCTGGGAACTTAGTTACACTTCTGTCTACAAAATTCTTCTCTGCCTCCAACCCTCCAGCCCATGTGATCTCTCCCAGAGATTCCCACTCTAGGCACTCATCAAGGCTGTTTTGCTCCTTAGGACCCAGGTCAGATGGAGCAACATCTGCCCCCACCACAGCCCACTCACCTGGACAACCCTTCTTAGGGAGCCTATGCCTTCAGTAGTCCACGCTGGGGCTCTGAGTTCTAGGTCTCCTTCAGGCAGGACCAGCTTCCTGCCCTGAAACTCTGGCTGTTCATATAGCATCCAGCTGTGGGCACAGAGATCCCATGGTCACAGTGGGGAGAGGAAGCTGTCCCCATGGTCTCTGGGTAGCTCCATAGGGGTTTCCTCCAGACTCACTGCCCTTCACATCCCCAGTCGGGACCCTGATGAGCACTCCCCACTCACCAGCCTCGCACCACCCTTATGGAGGCAACGAGGGCCCAGGTTGAGGCATCAGCAGTGTCTCCCCAGACTTCCCTGCTGTGGCCTTGGCAGCCAGGTTCTGAGAAGAGGATCACCTGGGAAGGCACAGCAGTGTCTCAGTCCTTGTCCCCAGACCCTCCCTCCTGCCACCCCCTGCCATTTGCCCTCACATTCTTTTTTTTTTTTTAAATGTTTGCATTCTACCATCTTCCTTGCTTTTTTTTCTATTCATTTATTCACATGTGCATACATTGTTTGGGTCATTTCTCCCCCCTGCCCTCCACCCCCAGCCTCTTCTCCCACCCCCTTCACTTTTTTTTTTTTTTTTTTGCAGTACTGGGGTTGAAGGGTTTTTTCAAGATAGGGTCTTATGGAACTATTTGCCTGGGCTGGCTTTGAACTGCGATCCTCTTGATCTCTGCCTCCTGAGTAGCTAGGATTACAGGCATGAGCCACCGGCACCCAGCTGCCCCCACATTCTTACCTTCCCAGGCCTGGTGTTCAGTTTGCCTTGGATCTTCAGGGCTGGACTCTGGAATAGAAGGGGTGATAAGAAGTCTTATGGGGTCACCTCCTTACTGCCTCCCCACTTCTGCCATTCCAAGGATACCATGGTCTCCAGCCCTAAGGAGTCAGCCCACAGAAGATGCCACCCTTATTTCAAATCTCCCCTCCCCCATTACCTGTCCCACGAGCTGGGTGTCTGTCACTCCCCTTCCCCAGCTTCTAGGATATGGGAGCCACCAAGCCCTTTGGAATCCACAGATTGGGAGACTGAGGTCCAGAAAAATGTGGATTGTATGAGTTAGACCTCAGACACAAACCTCTTGCCTCCAGAAACTTGGACTCTCAGTACTCTCCTCTCACCACCCAAACTTGGACCCAGGAGAGACCAGGCACCCAAGGTCTTGCCCCACCCAAGGCCTCACTTACCCACCCCTCCGGATCCTGTGCCTGTGCTGGCTTCTCTGGAGGCGGCCTTCCGCTGCAGAGCAGGGTCAACTTTCCTGGTCCCTTCTTCAGCCTTGGTGCCCCATGGGGTGGCAGAGCAGATAGTTTTGCACCAAGTGGTTCCAGGGTGGAGGCCTCCTTGGTGGCTGGCACCAAACTGCCAAAGAGAAGGCTGCCTCCCAGACGGGAAGTAAGCCGGCTGCTGGCCAGCAGTTCTGACCCTGGCTCTGTAGGGGTGCCCTTGGCACCTTCTACATGCTTCTTCATCATCTCCAGAGGAGAGCAGGAGACCTGAGAGGGCCTGGCAGGACAGGGGTTCCATGAAGGACTGGACCCTGCTTTCTCCTGCCTGCGCTGAAGCTTTTCATCATCACTCAGGTAGGGGTTTTCTGGTTCCTCCTCTTCCTCCTTCTCCTCTTCCAGTGCAGGCACTTCCTGGGGACTGGGTAGCACCCATGGTCCAGGCTGGTCTTCCTCAATGGCAGGCAGTGTGGCGTACATGGCCAGGTAGGAGGAGCGGGGGGGTCGGGGCAGCCGGTGAGTGCGGAGGATCTCAGGGGGCTCCATGCTCCGCAGAGTATCCAGGAAAATCTCCAGATCAACAGCCAGAGCCACCTCATCATCATCTCTTGATGGCTCTGGTAGCACCTTGTCCCCATTGGAGTTGGGGACAAGCTGGGACTCCATTCTGGCCTCTGCTCCCATTGGCACTGGAGCAGGATTGCTTTCTGGGATGGAAGATACTTTGTCCACTGGGGAGGATGGGACAAGGGGAACAGCAAGGCTCTGGATACCCTCTTTTTGGGTGGAAGATGAGATGGGGCTCCCTTCGGAACCTTGGATGGTCTCACCCTGTTTGGGGAGCAGGAGAGCAGGAGCAGCTGAGCTTTGAACAGTCGCTTCCTTGGGAAGGGAAGAGGCAGAGATGCCTTCAGGGCCCTGGACAACCTCTTTCTGCGATGTGGGTGGGTCAGCAGGAACACCAGGACCCTGAAGTGCCTCTTTCTGAGGAAGGGTGGTGACAGATACATTTTCAGAGTCCTGAACAAACTTACTCCTTGGGGATAATGGGGAAGGAAGGCCTTCTGAGCTAAGGACAGCCTTCCTCCTTATAGAGGATGGTGCAAGAAGCTGTCCAGGCACTGTAACCACCTCGCTCCTCACCATGGGCAAGATGGGGGCTGCAGGGAGATCAGTCAGCTCATCCTCTTTTACCAGAGTCAGGACCTGGGGAGTGGGCTGGACCCTGGGGTGAGTGGGTACCACAGGCTGCTCTGGGGAGTGGGCTAGGCCCAGGGAATGAACATGGGTCTGGGGTCTGGGAGCAGAGGGTGCTGCTGGTGCTTGGCCCTGAGAAGTCTGGAGAGGGAGGGAGGTAGGGCTAGAGGCATCTTGTATTGTTGGGGACTCACAGGCCCTGGCATCCAGGGTTCGGTGTTGGTCTTGTTCCATGCTGGCTACAGGGACATCCTGGTTTGGAGGTGAGTGAGTACTTGCTGGGAGTCTTCCAGGGGCCAGGGCTAAGCTGTCATTTAGCTCAGCTGTCCCAGTCTCAAGCACCTGCCCTAGACCTGTCCCCATTGTACTGCCCAGGCTTGGGTTCCTTGGTGCCATACTCGTGGGCCTTGGGATGCGACTGGCAGGTAGGGTGCGCTCAGCAGGCACAAGGCTACTCAGCAACTCCAGGGCCTGGCTGCGGTTAGGTGAGCCCTCAACTCCAGGGTTTACCACCACTGCCCGAACTGCGCGGGTGACATTGCGGCCCCTTGGCAGGGCCTCGCCTGGCAGTGTTGGCTCCAAGGTCCCAGAGCTGTTCACATGCTGGTCCACGTAGCCTCCTACTAGGGTGGTGGTCCGCACAGTGCGTGTCACTCGCCATTCCTCACGGTTCCGGGGACTCCCACTTGTGACACCCGCACCTGGGTGGGGGCTTGGCTCACGGGATCCAGGCAGGGGCACTAAGAACTCAGTCCTGACCATGGCTCCTGTGCCTAATGGCTCAGTCCTGGAAGTTTGTGTACTGCCATCACCCCAGTCCACAGTTTCCTTCAGCCTTCCAACTGGCCTTTTCTCCTTGGGGGGTGGTGTATACTTCTTAGAAAAGATGGGCCCATGGCTCTGGAAGGTCCCATCATTCCGAGGTCCCTGACAATTCACAGTCTCTTCTTCCTTAGTAGCAAAGCCATTGACCTCTTCTTGCTGGAGGCTGTGCTCAAACATCTCCTCCTGGGAGGCTTTCATCCCGGCCCCTGACACCAGGGACACCTTGTGAAAACGGTGTCTGGTCTCTTCCTGGACAGGAGGTCGCTGTCTCCATGTCAATGTGGCACTTACTACCCGGGCCTTGGCCCGCGGAGGGGGCCCAGCTGCCTCCTCCATGTTGGACCCCAGCAATCTGTCCTGAGGTGTCCTTGGCTCACTATGGACCAGTTCCCTGCAGATGGTGAGAGAGAAGAGGAGAAATGAGTGTCAGAGTGTGGTGAGGGTAGCTCACTGAAGTGCAGAACAAGTGCCCCACCACAGTTAGGCCGGGAAACTTCAAGCAAGTGGCTTGACCTTTTGGTATTTATTTACTCATCTGCAAACTGGGTGTGAGATTCCCAGCTCTGATTTGAGTCATCAGAGCTCCTGACCAACTCATCTCCCCTCTTCCAAGCAACTCCCTCTGCTGAGTTCCTTCAAAGGGTAAAGCTGAGGACAGAGTTTGGAAGGAGAGAGAAGAGGAGAGCAGAAAGGAAGCTGCCCCAGCCTGTGGAGGTGCTAAGCCTCTGCCCAGGAAGCCCTTGGTCCAGTGCTCCAAGGAGACAGAAGCTTGAAAACTGGAACCTGAAAGCTGAGCAAATGCAAGCATTGCTCACATCCTGTTCCTGCCAGGTTCCTCAAAAAGGAGTTAAGGAAAAATAGGCTTTGGCCTCAGACAAAGCTGGATTCCCCTGGGCCCTATTGCTCACAAGCTGCTTGATCTCAGGCAGGCCACTTCTTCCTTTTAGGAGACAGGGTCCCACTGCAAAGCTGCAGTACTTAGACGTGCCTCCCAGAGTCTTGCCAGGACCCACTAGGAAAGAAAGAAGGAAAATGCTCTTTATAAACTAAAATGATGGCTCATGAACTTCCGTTGGAGATTTGTGACCAAACCTTAACAGGGACACACATGTGTGTACGTGCAGGAGTGTCCGATGATAATGGTCAGAGCTTAAGGTACATTTGTGTGCCTCTGTGGATATCAGTGGGGCCTGCACACAGAACTTTGGACTTTATAACACGCTTTTCCTCAATTCTCTCCTCTAAAATTGTTATTTCCTCACTTGTACAGATGAAGAAACTGAGGGTCAGAGAAAAGGATTGGCTGTCCCAGGATGATGCAGTCACAAAGTTGCCATGCTGGAGTTTGAATTTGCATCTTCTAAATCCAGGCCTTGGCATCTCCTCTCCCACCCACGAGGTGGAGGCTCAAGGTACACTAGCTACTCCCATGATCCTCTGAAGCTCAGCACATCTCCTTCTCACTCCTTGCAGAATGGGACCTGCATCTTATTTCTTCTCTGATCCTCCCTTGATCTCTCAGTTCTCTCTAACCTCCTTTACTAAATGAAGTAAACAAATAACACCTGCCTAAACAGAGCTCTTCACTTGAGGAACAATTTGGTGAATTTCCCTGTTTTAATAGCAACAAAAGCAGCCACATTGAGGGCTTTGTTGCCAAATACCTGGCTAAGTGCTTTACTTTCATTGTCTGACTGAATCATTGGAAAGCATCCCATGAGTTTGAGACCTCACAAACAATAAGTTGTTGTTAAATTACACACTAACAGTCCCATCTTGCCAATGAGATTTTTAAAGGCTGAGAGAGTTCTAGAAATTTGTTGAGTCACACAGCAGCAGTTCAGACTTGAACCCCAAGCCTAAGTATTTAAGTGCCATTCCAAAGTCCCTGATCTGGGAAACTGAGTCTTTAACTTGAGGGTTTACTTCTAAAGGGGGACACCCACCCCTACTCACTGATCTCCAGGGCTATTTTTAGATCCCAGAACCCCAGAGAAGTCCTCCTGTTCTTCCCCACTCTTGGGTTAGGCTTTCTTCAGGTCTGCCCCTCCTCTCCACAAGGCAGCCCCCAGAGCCACACCCAGAAGCCAGAAAGGGACCCACTACCCCAATTTTCTTTCCCTGTCTCCACCTCCTGCCTCATAAGAAGCCTGTGAAACCCAGAACTTTGACCCTGCCCTGTGGCCCCAGCAGTGACTCAAGTTTTATGAGGGGCAGAGATGAAAGGGGCTGAGGCCCAGGCAAGCCTGACTTGACTCCAGGACCATTGGTGGCCTTGGGACAGGGCTTGAGGGGCCCAAGATGGCCTGGGTATGGGGAAGGGGAAGACTTGGATGGACCCCAACCCTTCCCCAGGCCAGAGCTTGCTGAGAACTGACACCCAAGACCTGGATCTCAGCTCCCATAATGGCCCCAATTCTCATTAAGCAGTCACCTTCCTTCTCATGGCACCCTGTTGTCCTGGCTGAGACTCCCCCCATGAGCTTCACGCCTCACGGAGCACCCCCAAAGTCCCTGTCTTCCTCACTGAGTCCCCTCTCCACTTCTGGATAATAACAACAGCCACCTGCCATTCATCAAGATTCTGACACTGCTGGTAAGTGGCAAAGCCTGGGTTCTAGGCTGCTCAGTCACCCATTCATTCATTCAACACTCACTGTGCCAGGCAATGTGCTAGGCCCTGGTTACACTCACCCAAAAGCCAGCTTTCCTGAAAAGGTGCTATCCTAGGAGTCCAGGGGTAAAGAAGCAGGCATTTGGAAAGCTCCATGGACCTCAGCAGAGCCATAGGAAACAGCCTCAAAGGATCAGTCAGTGATCAGCTCAGATACTGTCCTTGACCTCCCAGCAATCAGTTCCATGCCATTCTAAGCCCAGCCCAACCCTGGGACAACACCCCTGATGGTCACTCATTCCATAAGCATGTGGTCACTGCTTCTGCTTGCATACTTCTGGGACAGGGAGGTCACCCCTTGTCAGTTCACTGGATGCCCCATTCCTGGACAGTCATGACTTTTAGAATGTTACTCAAACTATTCTGGAGCCTGCCTATCTATAGCTCCCCACTTTTGTTCTTGCTCTGGAGACAAACCCCAGTAACTCAGATGTCTCTCCCAGGCAAGCAGAAGTGCCGGTTCCCAGAGCCCTCTCATTTCCAGGTCCTCAGACCAGAAGTGGATTTGCAGGCACTGTGACCTGTGACCTCCAAACAAGGCATATGGGGTTGGGAAAGGAAGGGCAAGGAGGGGGTGGGGGAGTGTGGGAAAAGTCTTGTCTAACCTAACAAGTCTTGGATTCTCCCCGCTTACCTGTGAGTCACCCCCAAACTAGGCCAAACCAGTCGACAGGCCCACATGCTGGCAAACACATGCTGCGTCACACAGGCACACTCAGAGTCACAGACCCGGAGTCACACAGCACAAAAACGCACAGATAACCCAGTCAGAGACACACACAACCGCACACATGGACACTCCCCAAAAGACACAAACACACAGACACTGGGAGACATAAGCCACATATCCACACAAAGAAACACACGCACACAATGACACACACATGCACACATTCCCAGTACACACTCAGTTAACCAAAGCCACAAGTTCTCCTTCCATTGAGAACATGGACTCACACATCCCCACTGGCAATCCCAGCCAGGCCTACCCCCTGTATTTACCAATCCTGGCCTACAGAACCCTCCTGCAGAGAGTGGGCCTAGAAGTATGATGTCCTAGAAGACACCTTCCTCTCTAAGTGAGCCCTAGTCTCCCACACAAATCAGTCATTATCCACCCTGGCTCAAAATAGCCAGGGAGTAGCAGAGAGAACCCTATGTCCTCCCAGTTCATTCCCCTTTTAAGGCCAGACTCTCCCACCTCTCTGTCTGTCTGTCTCTCTCTATCTCTCTCTCCCTTGTCTCTCTGTGTGTGTGTGTGTCTGTGTGTGTGTCTCCCTCTGTCTCTCTGTCTCTCTCTCTCTCTCTCTCTCCCTCTTTGCTAAGAGTACAGCACTGCCAAATCCATGCACAAACCCAAAGAGGCGTCTTTGTGAGGCAGGATGGTCAGAGCACAGGTCTTAGAGTTGCAGAAACCTGGGTTCAAATTCTGACTTCTTTATTGTCCAGTTGAGTTTGGGCAAGTGCAGTAACCATGCCGAGCCTTCGTTTCCCTATTATAGCTAGATGGTGGTGGTGGGATTAGTCCCTACTCCATGGGACTGTTGCAAGGATTAAATGAAAGTATGCTTAGAAAACAAGTCATAGATGACAGCCACCGCCAACACCATTAGTTGCTTCTCAGAGCCCTGTCTGAGGTCCAGTACCCCTTCCTGGTGGATTTAGGGAGATCCTATGTTCATCCCTCCTCAGGGATCCATACATTCCCTCTCTGAGTCCACCCAGCAGATTTAGGAGAGTCATTTCAATGCAAATAAAAACTCAGGCTTGAGAATCTCGGCGCCTCTTCCCGTGGTCACCAGCACAGAGCCAGGTGGGGTAATTATTGCTGCCTCTGAGGTATAATTAATAAGCATCCCTGCTATTTTGGCAGCCCTGCTCCCTGGAGTTCAAAGCACGTTCCTATAACCACCTCCTTGTTCCTCATATCCAGCTCCCAAATCCACGCAACAACTCAAAGCCCAGAGAGGTTAAGCGACTTGCCCCAGGACACCCAGCACCTTGGCTGGGCTCTTATTCCCAGGCTGGGTCTGTGGCCACATGAACAAAACGAGTAGTAGGTGTTGCTGGGAAGCTGACCCCTGACCTACCTATCCTCTCCATGACAAGGTTTCCCCTCCTTGGAAGGGCAGAGGAGGAGGGGAGCAGTAGGTTCCAGCAGTAGCCTGTGAGTGAAAGGAGGGAGAGGAAGCAGAGATTGGGGGGCGGGGTGTGCAGTCAGCTCACACTCAGGTGTCAAATGAATGGTGAAGCCCAGTCACAAGTCCCAGGGACCCAAGAGGAGGCAGTCATGCCAGTCTCCCCTCCCAACATCATGTCCCTCAAGGACCACCCTCTACTCACCAGCTGTGTGGGGTCCCAGGTTTCTGGTGGGCCTGGAGCTCCTGCCGCTGGGCCACACTCCCCTGATGCAGTGGGGCTCTTAGCCAGGGCTCACAGGGTGGGGCTGTCAGGCACCCCGTGATGGGGCGGGGCCCCTGGGGAGGTTCCTGCCAGCCCCTGGATTCCTCAGGGCTGCAGGGGTGGGAAGCTGGTCTGGCCGGTTCCTGGCCCTCCTCCCCAGGTGCCTGCCTGCACCCCTGCAGGGTGACAGTAATGTGGTAGTGGGTCTTCCTGGCGGAAGGACGTTTATGTTGGATCGGGGCTGGCTCTGGGTTGTCAGACTCGCACTTTGCCCCTTCTGCTATGGGGAAGGATATGGGGCAGTGTGGCAGGGGTGTGTTTCCCAGGTTGCATGTCTCAGGCTTCTGAGGGACCTCTGGTGCAGTGGGGAAGGGCTGCTGGCTAGCATAGCCTGGGGATCCCTGTTCCAAACATTGAGGAGCAGGCTCTGGGCAGGAGGGGTGCTTGGCCCCAGCAGGCTCCACTGCTGGTGCCAGGCTCTCATTTCCCATGGAGGCATGACTGGCCAGGTCACAGGCACTGCCCACAGCTGGCCTCTGCAGGCGCCCCAGGGACTGAGTGGATCTTCCTGAGATGTGTGGTCTATTCCAAATCCAGAAACCACCACGACTCCCATCCCGAAGGTCCCATTCTGACTGGCTCTGGACTTGAACCTGGCAAAAGCAGAGGCAGGGACATGGTGATTGGGACGTGGTGATAGCATGTGTTCTCCTGCCCTCCAGTCACCTCTAGACACCTCTGGCTACCCTCCTTGGCTCAAGGGAAGCTGAGTAGGACTTCTAATACCAAGCCAAGCAGCCCTAGGGAGAGGCTGCCAGGGCCACCAGAGCTGGAGAAAGGGGGAAGACTCTAGCAAGGACTGTTAGCATTTAACACACCCCCTTCCCATCCTACATATAAAGTAAGTGAGGTTTTCCGAGAAGACATTGACATGACTAGGGTCACACAGTAGGGCAGTGAAGGCCCCCAACTCCACACAGCCTTCCTGGTGATGTGGTACCAGGACCTGGCTGTGCCTTCCCCAGTCTGTGACTTCAGCTTTCTCACAGGCCCATCACTACTTTCCCAGTGCTCACAGCCTCTGTCTCTTTGGTACCAGCTACCCACAGAAATAGGGGCTATGTGATCATGCCTGCCTCAAGTGCCCTGGCCTCTGCCTGCTCCAGGATACCAGAGGGCCTGCAGCCACCTCCCTTGAAGCCTCTCAGCCTAAAATTCCCACAGCACAGCTGGGAGGAGGCACCTGGGCATAGAGTTAAAACAGGGATTGAGAGAGGCAGGTCTCCTGAAAATGGAACAGAGAAGACCTGTCTGCTCTCTTCACTGGGGTACAGCCTGGATGTGGGGATGAGGGGAGAGATCTTAGGATCTCACACCTTAATGGATGCTGGCCCCAAAACTACCAGTTTTCAAGGATGGGCTTGTGTCCTTGGCAACAGAGGAGCTAAATCTGGGGACAAAATTCCTCCTGGCAGGGATCCGTCATCCCAATCACTTTAATTTACTCATCTATGCAACAGATGCAGCCTCTCATTCCCCCAGGGATGGGATACTTCCAGACAGGAAAGTAGAATGATCAGTGTGGGGAACCCAGATAGAGCAACCTGAGCCTGAATCCCAGCTCTGCTACTTGCTAGTGGCAAGACATGCAACAGCTTCCCCATGTGTAAAATGGGTGGGATCATGACAGCCAGCCCCTGCCTCCTAGGAGTGCTGCGCAGATGGTGGGAGATGATTCCATGCAGAGTGCTGCACACAATGAATATGCAGTTAACACTAGTAATCACTCATAGTGTTCAGGACCAAATACAGTCACTCATCACTGTCCAACTCATGGTTTAGTTCTCACTGGAGAGGGGGAAATGTGGCCAACTGTGGCCAGAAGGTTAAACACAGGTTCACCTCTGGGGGCTGGGGGAGGTATGCCAGGAAGTGAGAAGAAGGAGCCAAAATGGGCAGAGGTCAAAGGAGTAGGAGGAGGGGGCCCCTGGAACAGGCCTTGCCCAGGACCCCAGCACTAGGAAGTGCACATTTGCTGGATACTCTAAATCCATTACTTCATTTCCACCCCCTGTCCTAGAGAGGCATTATTGTGCTCAGAAGAAGGGAGGGATCTGTCTAGGGTCACACAGGAAATTCAGAACAGAGGGAAGATGGTACTCCCGTTGTCTGGCTTGTAATCAGGGTCTACAGTCCTGCCCAAAACCTCCAGAGCTCCAGCCTCCCTCCTCCTCCCTTTTGGGTTGTGTCCTACCTTGAGCCTGACATCGCTGGTGCTGCCCTGGCCCTGGGCAAGGTCAGGGCAGCTCTGGCCGCCCCAGGGCCTGGGAAGGAAGCACAGGGGAAATGAATGAGCAGCCTGCTCTTCCTCCTTCTATCCTGACACATCACTCCAAGACTGGGCCCAGCAGCCCCTCCCCTACCTTCTTCAGGGCCTACAGCCTAGAAGATGAGCTCCTTAAACCTTTGCAGAAGGCCCATATGGCAGCCTCCTCTGCCCCACTGCCAGAGATAGAGAAGGGTACTAAGGTGAGGTGGGATCAAAAAGGGCCTGTATCAAAGCCAGAATGCAGAGATACAGTGCTCAGATGACTCCACAGCTCCACATCTGCTGAGGTCCAGCTTAGCATCAGGCTTTGTACCTCCCTGATGACAAAAATTATAGAAGGTGGATATTAGTGTCCTTATTTCTTCAGATAAGGAAGCTGAAGCCCAAAGAGGCGAAGTGACTTGCTCAGAGTCACATAGCTAGTGAACCTTAGAGTTAGGCCACCAGGACTGTCCCATGCCAAAGCTTAATTGGACATCACCACACTAACGGGGGTGGGGGAGGGAGGGCAACAAGGAAAGTCCCTTGACCCCCAGGCCCTTATTCTAGGTAATCTGTAGGAACCAGAGGCCTATGCCTCAGTTTGGGGTCCCATTCTCATGGCTGGTAAGAATAAGCCCAAGTGCACACATGGCGTGTGTCATCACTCTGGCTCTGTAGTTCCTCCCCTACCCTCCTCACACCTGACTCATCTGCACCCCAAGCCTGATCCTCTCTGAGTAGGGAGGAAGAGGGAGTGCGGGCAGGGCCCATAGGGCAGGTTTCTGCCAGACAGGGTAAAGGCAGAGGTGTGTCTTCCAAATGAGTGTGGGCAGGGCAATGGCAGGGTGTGGACACCCCAGGGCACTCAGGCTTCGGGACACAGGGTGGCTAGGCCTTCCCCTCTGTAGGGTGAGAGAATAGCACAAACCCCTCCCCTCATTCTGCCCCCACTGTGCCCTCATCCTCCTCCAGCAGCAGGCTGAAGACAGCTGCTTCATGATAAGATCAAAACAAATTGCCCAGTAACTGTGTAGACACACAAACACCCTGCTGCCTGATAGCACACCCACACTCTCTCCCCATATATGGCCTGCCGACTACTGGGGCCCTCTTGATTTTTCACTATCCACTTCCCAGCCTTTGAGCTCAGCCATCCAGGAGTGGTTTTCCTTCCTTTCACTTAGACATCAGCTACCATGAATGGGCTCAGAGAGGTGAAACAATTTGCTCAAAGTCACCCAGCTAGTGGCACCTAGGGTTAGAAGTTCCAGCCCCCTGGCTTGCAGTCTGACCATCTGAGAAGCAACAGTTTCAGGATATGAGCTCTGGAGTCAGATAGCTGACTGTGTATCCCCACTCCACCTCTTCCCAACTGTGTGACTTTAGGCATGTGACTTCACTTCTCTGAACCTCCATTTCCAGATCTGAATTGCTCTACCTGCTTCCCAGTGTTGCCATGAGGATTAGGCAAAAATAATCCAGGTAAATCATGAAGCAAGTGACAAAAATTTATTGTTCGATCGCCAGCACCGCAAAAAAAAAAAATTAATTGTTATTACAGTCTAGGTGCAGGAATGACAAGGGTCACCTGTGCACAGCATCAAAGGGCAATTGCAGTACAATTGCAGACAACTCCATAATCTGTCAGACTCATGACAAAGGACATGAAGACCAGAGGAACATTGGCCTGTGATGTAAGAATCAAAGTTCACAGCAACAGGAGGAACTACCACGTGTGCCTTTAAACTGTCTCTGGGGAGGTAATTGTCTTTAGGCTGCCTGCCTTCAGTTGTCTGAAGGTTTTAAAAGGGCACAGGGGGTTTCCACAGTTCACAGATTCCAAATCGAGGTACATTGACATATACATTGTTTTTTTTTTTTTTTGCTCTGAGATATCCAAAACATGCTGATGGAACACTCATTATGTTCTAATACACGCACACAAACACACCTGCCCCACCCGGTCTTTCTCCATCCCCCTCACCTATCTCGGTGTCTGGCCTCCTCTGAGGTCTCCTTCCCCCTGCGCTCTCTCCGGACCCCAAGTCCAGCCAGGAGGCGGGCCAGGCGGGTCCCCAGGCCCCCGCGCCGCTTGGTCATGACGAGGCCAAGACCTGGGCTTGGGCTGTCGGGACACTTGGCAGTGGGGGCCACCCGGATCCGCTGCACAGGTGGCAAAGCGCCTCCTCCGGCCCGCCCCCCTGAGCAAACAGCGGCCCCGCCCACACAGGCTGGTGACGGGGACCTGATTCTGATGTTGCCCAGGCCCTGGGGCAGGAGGTGCAAACTCAGGAGTCAGTCCCCACCTGGGACAGCAGCCCCGGACGCTCTGCCTGAGCCCCACACCTGCCCTTGAGCCCTTACTCTCTGCTCCATCTGCACTTTCAAGCCTCTGAAGGTGCTTGGTGGGAGAGGGGTGGGAGCAACGAGTGAGCGCAGCCGGAAAGCTGCACCTGCGCTAAGTGGCGCTAGGAACAGAGCCCTGGAAGAGCCAACAGGCGCCTACAGGACAGGGGCGTGGCCCGGGAATGGGGGCGGGTCCCGAGGGGGTTGGCGTCCGGCGAGCTGCAAAGGTGTGACTAGGGTGAGCTCAGAGCCCTGGCTTTTGTTGCTGATGGGGCCGAAGCTCACCCTGTCATTGCCCCACCGTGTGCGCTCCTCCAAGGGTTTTCTCTCTGTCCTGGAGCCACTCAAGACACAGAGCGGAAATGTCGCTGCGCACCGCAGTGAATCTGCACCGAAACCCACTGGCGCCCCCTGCCGGAAGTCGGCCCCAGAACCTTACTCTGAAAATTAATCTAACCAGGGCCACCTTATCTACCAGACAGTGCCCCTTCCCACCTGACGCTACCTCTCTGGGTCACGAACGGGAGTGGAGAACATCTTGCACATTTGAGGGACCCCCCCCGGGACCGCAGGGATTCAGGCCTTCAGGAGGAATTCCCCAGGTTCTCTGCTAGACCTTCACTGCCTGTAGTCCGCATCAAGCCTCTACCACCCCCTTAACCTCCTCTTCACCCCTTAGCCTTTTGCCCTCCGTAGTAATTGGTCCTGGTACACAGGGGACATCATGCTTCCGGCGATGTGATATTTTGTGTGTCCTTTCTCACCAACCCAAGGAGGAGCTCGCCCCACCTAACGATGGCAAGGAGTACCAGCTGAGGAGGCACGATGGCTGACTAGGAACCAGCAGAGGGACATCTGAACAGGTGTTGAAAAAGCTGTTCAGAAGAGGGCGAAGTGCCCTGTGCTGGGCAGCACAGTCTGTATGTGGCAGAGTCCTGGAGGGCTGGACTGTCCATCAGTGAGTAGAGATGGAGGGCTCCCAGACAGCTCCCAGATAGGTCACAGCCAGGAAGTGGAACCCAAACCCAGGCTGAGTATGTGGCTCTTCCTGGCTGTGTCCTCTGACCTGCTCCCAGACAAGGTGTGAGGCCTGGCAAGTGCATGATGACAACTTCTCCACTGGGGACGTGCAGAAGACCCCAACTCAGCACTGAGAAAATCCTTTAACTGCTCTATGCCCCTCCTTCCCAAAGCAGTCCTGGCACCACTGCTCAGGCTGGCTGCCCGTGCATTCCCCAGCATACAGAGGACACCTTGACTTTGCCCACATCCCAGCCCTTCGGCTTCTCTGAAGGCACTGCAACAAGATCAAGTGCTCCTTGGTGCCACTGGGTAAGGCAGGAGAGAGAGGCCAGGGGCAGATGGGTGTGGGCTAGTCCGCAGGGCTGTGGGGCATGCAGACGATGGTGCATCTTCAGGTGAATGTGCTGGGCAAAGCGACTCCGGCAGACACCAGGCTGGAAGGGCTGGGTTCCTGAATGTAGGCGCAGGTGGGTCTTGAGGTTGCTGGAGCTGCTGAAGCGCTTGTGGCACATCTGACAAGAGTGGGCACTGGCATCAGCTCTGCCCTCCAGGATGGCTCAGGATCTCTGTCTACCTCTGAATCTTAGAAACACCCCCTCCCCCATCCACTTCTCTGTCCATGCAGGCCCAGAAGCTTTTTCTGGTGATTTCTCCCCGAGACTCGCAATATCTGGTACATTAGAGCAAGCAGACCCAGGTTAATATCCTTTTACTCCTGTGTGACCTTGTATAGTGACTGTTCTCTCTAAGCCTTCCTTTCCTTATTGGTAACATATGACTCTTAATTCCTCATCTCATGGTTAGAACACTAAATGAGACAATCACACAGAACCCTTACACATGAGGCTGCAGCATCAGCAGATACAATCAACATTTTACTGGGGCTGCACCTCAGGCTGCAGGTGTACAGGGGAAAGAGAGGAGGGTCTCACCAGGCACATGTGGGGCCTCTCCCCAGTGTGCACCAGGCGGTGCTTCTGCAGGTGGGCCAGCTGGGTGAAGCTCTTCTGGCACAGGACACACTGGAATGGACGCTCCCCACTGTGTACACGCAGGTGGACCTGTGAGCCAGGAGTGGCAAAAATACTGCTTAGCTGCCCAGAGGCCCCAACAGGGCCTAGGGTCCTGTCCAAATCTCTGTCCACATCCCTGCAGGACCTTTTGCTGACACCCAGGCCTCTTCATCCCCTGACCTCTCTATCAGCTCCCTTAGGGCCCATCATCTCCCAGAATATTCCACTCTTTTTTGCTGTCCTGCAGTGGAAGTGGCCCGCATATATCCTGGAGCAGTGCTACTCAAAGATATGATCTGCAGACCAGCAACCTCCATTATCACCTTGGGAGAATGTTAGAAATGCAGATTTTCAGGCCGCACCCTAGACCTGCTGACTCAATCTCTGGGGCTGGGGCTGGGGAATCTGTAGGTTTATTAGCTCTTCAGGTAGTTTAAGACTTGTGAAAGTATAGGAACTCCTGCCTTAGAGGATCCAGTAGGGCCATTCCCCAGCAATCATAACTTTTTCGCAACTTCAGGGGGTGCCAGCTTTTGCATAGTCTCAGGTCTTTGCTAACACAGAGTGAAGCTCCCATAGGCTCCCCCTGCTGGACAGTAGGGATGCTGGCTCCTACAGTCCCAGGTCTGATTCGTGGGATCCCACTTGAAAAAGGTTGACTGTCAGTCTGTGATCTAGACTCACCGAAATCTACCCTTCTCCCATCTGATCTTCAAAAACAATAAAGAGACTTAACTGGGAATCCAGAAAAAGAAAGGGCTTTGCCAGTAGATGTTGAGAGACTGAAATCAAAGCCTAATTCCACCATTAAATCATAGTAACCTTAGGGAAACCCTGCATTAGGAGCGTTACTTTACACATTGTTAACTTAAATGAGATGGTTTCACAAACAGTCTTAACAGTCTTCTAGGACAGAGAGAATTTTAGTGGCCATATTTATTTATTTATTTATTTGAGATAGGGTCTCACTGTGTTCCCCAAACTGGCTTCGAACTCCTGGGCTCGAGCCATCTTCCTTCCTCAGCATCCAAGTTCACTTGGTCTAAAAGGCTGCCCAAGAGTGGCTTCCAGCTTTCTGGACATGATTCTATAAGCAGGGTTGGGGGTCAGAGGACTCCTGAAGGATAAAGGGGGGAGGCAGCAGAGCCCAGAAGGCAGGTACCTTGAGGTTGGAGAGTTGCCCAAAGCTCTTGCCGCACACATTGCACTCGTACAGGATTTTGCCATTTTTTTTCTTCAGCGGGTATGGAAGTGCTTCAGTGCCAGCCCGGGAGGCTGGTGGGGTCCGCTTTGCTGGAGACACCAGGCTAGCTCGTCCTAGCCCTGGGGAGACCCAGGCAGCTCTGGGGCATTGCTCCCCAGCCTGGGAGGGCAGGGTGTGGCTAGAGGCTTGGAAGGCCCCTGGGTAGAGAAGCAGGGTCTCTCCCCAGGTGTTGTGATACCTAGGCTCATTGGCCCTCATCAACAAGCTGGATGCAGTTGTGGTGGTGTCTTGGGGCAGCATGAAGAGATAGGGACATTGACCAGGAGGTAGGATCCCATAGGTGAACAGGTAAGGTGGAGGCAGAAGAAGTGGGTGCCCAGGATAGAAAGGGTGGAGGAAAGATGGTTGCTCCTTAGAGATGGGGACAAGAGGAGGGCAAGGGCAGAAAGCCAAGGGGCTAGGGCTCTTTCTATTTAGCTGGGGGGTTGGGGAGGTGCTGTTGTTAGAAGGGAAGAGTGGGCAAGTGGCCCCTTGGCCTGCTCTTTCTGCCTGGCTCCCCATCTTGTCCCTGCTCGGTGAATATTTGGCTGTGAGCTTCTTGTCATCAGCGGAGCTGCCAGGCAGCCTTGGTGGCTGGTGCTCTGAGCAGGAAAAGGAAGACCATCAGACCCCCATAGCCTGGGGTGAAGGTTTGTCCCCCACCAAGCCTGCCCATCTAGGGGATGGGAAAGAACTCCAGCCCTCAAACCCAGTGAGGAAAGTTGGGCAAGGTGCTTCCCTCTCTGGGACTCAGTTTCCCAGTTGCTATTGTGTCTGCCAATAAAAGTTGCTAATATGTCTGTAGTACTTAACAGTTTCAGGAAGAGGAAAGGGTTTGAGAAACCTACATTTGGTAGGGAAGTCAAGTGGATAGTTGGATTAATTGATATAGAGTTCAAAGGAGAAGTACAAACTGGAGACAAATTTGGGTGTCTTGGACCAAGATGAGATCACATAGGGTGACACACTAGATCTTCTAGATCCAAAGTGGCACTTGCAAGACACATGTAACTAAGTTACATTATAGGCTCACACCTGTAATCCTAGCTACTCTGGAGGCAAAGATCAGAAGGATCACAGTTTGAAGAGAGCCTAGGCTAATACTTCAAGAGACCCAATCTTGAAAAAAGCCATCACAAAAAAAAAGAGTGGCTCAAAGTGTAGGCCCTGAGTTCAAACCCCATAATGCAAAAAAAAAAAAAAAAAAAAAGGTATGCTTAGGGCTCTGTCCTCCCCTTATCCCAAAACCTAACCATGCCCCTCCAACCCTCCACCAATATGCAGGTCCAGTCCCATGCCCTGGGCTTACTCATGCTCCAGACATCCTCTCTGAGACCTTGTGGGGCTGTGCCCAGGGATACTGGCTGCAGGGTGCACAGGTATAGGTCCAGGCTCTGGGAGCAAGTCAGCAGGTTACACCTGGCTGGTGCCAGTGGCAAGGAGAACAGCCAGTTTATATAGGATGGGCCATGAGCATCCACTTGTGTGGAAGTGGTCTGCAGGCTGAGAGGACCTGGAGGGCAGAGGGCAAAGGGTTTGGAGGCTGGGGGCTGGGACATGTGGGTCCCTTGGATGGTCCTATCCCCAGTGTGGTTTCCAAAGAGGAGAAGCTAAGACATGGCCACCCCCCCCCATATCTGTCACTCATATGTCTCCTCTCCCTCATCCAAAGGCTTATTTCTCCAATCAAGAACTTTCTTACCCACTGCAGGACTGCCTTCCCCTTCCCCTAGAACCTGTCCTGTTTTCCCTCCCACCCCACTCCTGACCATACTGTTCCCAGCATATTTCAGACCATCTATTTATTGTGTTGTTTTGAATAGAACCAAGGTGAACTTGAGGAAAATCCTTATCCAGGACTGTAAATCCCACAGGATGGCCCTGAACCCTCTCCCACTAAACCCCAAGGCCATGATCATACCAACCAAGCCTTCTGCATGGCCTTTCTCTTTCTTATTGCCCACAGTATAGTCATGGAGACAGGGTTTCTGGCACCTCAAGGACATATCCCCATGATGTGCCTGGGGGACCAGGGAGATGGGTATCCAGCACATTCAGAAACTCTGTTGCTTCCTCTTTACATCACTTCCTACCATGGACAGACTGCCCTCAAATAACAGGCTGGGCCCCACTCTACCTGGTCCCCTTGGCAGAGCTGAAAGTCTTGGCTTGGGGAGCCCCATGTGCCCCCCTGGGCCTGGGTCTTGTGGCAACAACCCAGTTGTGTAGCTGGATTTCCCTTCATAACCCAACTACCTGCTGAGAAGATGGGTGAGTCAAGGTGAACTGTGAAGTTCCTCCAGGTAGGAGCCTGGGTTCTAGGACTGGCTCTCCCACTAATGTGCTGTGTGGCTGTGAGCAAAGTCACTTTCCCTCCTGGCCTCAGTTTCACTCTCTGAAAAATAGGGTTGAGCTGGTTCTTGTCTAAGAACTCTCTTAGTGCTGACGTCAATGATGCTCTCCTGGTAGGTGTGGAAAGGGGATTAAGTGAAGACTAACCAATCAGAGGTGAGGAGTAGAGGTGGCCTGAGAAGACAGGTATATCCTCATGGAGGTTCTCAGGGAACAGCCAGTATTCCTCAAGGTTACAGGGAATTGTAAAGTCACCCCTTTCCCTGCGGAGAGGGGTCCATGTCTCGCAACCAAAGGCTCCCCACCATCCAGGATCACCCAGATGGCTTTTCTGGGCAGCAAGGAAACTTCAGGGTACTATCACCCAGAGTGCCCCAGGCTCCATTCCCTCACCCTCAAGGAAGCCTGAGAGAAAGCAGAGAGTCCCCAGGTGCCCCATGGCTGGCCTGACAGTGCTCAGCTGGTTACTGGGTTACCTTGCTTCTCTGCCATCTTTCCTGATGGCACACAGCAAATGCCCCAAGTGCCCTTCCCCTCAGTGACCACCCTCCCCTCCTTGACCCTGAATGGCCCTCAGTACTAAAACCCTCACTCCAATGTCTCAGCCCTCCAAAACCCTTTTCCTTCCCCTGTTTTTCCCCCACCCTGCCTCAGGTCTCAAATACCGTGACCCTGAAGGTGACCTGAGTGCGCGCTTCACCTGGTTGTGCAGCAACACTCTCTGGCTTGAGGAAGAAGCAAGGTGGGCAGACAGTCAGCAGTGGCTGACTCACTGTGGCTGAGGCCCCAGTGAGAGATGACAGGAAGGTGCTGCATTTGAAGCCTCCTTAAATGGGGGGGGTGGGGGGAGAGGCAAGTAGGCGGGCCCAGGGGCCCTTTGAGATCTGATGAGGAGCCTCCCTCTGACACTCTGCAGGACAATTGCTGGGGTGTGGAGTATAATGAACTGAGTGAGAGGTTTATTATCTATTCTCAGAGACCCTACATGGCTGAGCAGGAGAGAGACAGAGCAGACTCAAAGGCTGGAATTGGTGTCTTTCTGGGGATGAGGAACAAACTGAAACAGAAACAGGTGGGGTCAGAACAGGCAGAGATGGTGACAGACGCAAATGGTTGTAGGGAGGTACAAGAACAGGCAGAGACGAGAATAGGCAGCATAGAAGAATATGGGTGAGACAGGAAACTGCTCTCAGAGAGCAGAGGTGCAGAATACAGCAAACACATCCTCCTCCATGTCCTATTTTTCTTTCTTTCTTTTTCTTTTTTGGCACTGGGGTTTGAACTCATTAACTCAGGACCTCATGATTGCTAGGCAGGTGCTCTATTGCTTGAGCCCCTCCACTAGCCCAGTCCTGGGGATTCCTTTCCTCAAGTCCAGATAGAAAACTGAGGCCTCCAGAGGGCAAGAGACACAGAAATATGGGTGTAAGATGGGGTAAGATGCGAAAAGGGAGTTCTCATAGGCCAAGAAACAACTTGTTAGGTGGAACAATTTCATTATTCCCAAGAGCATGAGAAGAGGCTGGGAGAGTGGCTCAAGTGGTAAGGTGCCTGCCTAACAAGTGCAAGAGCCTGAGTTCAAGTCCCAGTACCACCAAAAAACAAAAAGTGCTCACCAAGAGCATGAGAAGATACATTAGTCTGGGGCCTTACCCAAGTTCTTATGTGTCTGAGCCTTGTGTCTGAGTTTGGGCCAAAGTGACACAGTCCCAGTAATCAAACTTCACCTAGTTGTGCTGCCCAGGTAACCTGGAACACACAGAGACATCTCAGGGCACCTGACAGTGGTTCTCTGCCTGCTCAGCTCTGAGGCTGGCCATTGCCTTCATCATTTCCTGGATTATAATTTGCCCATGTAGCTGACCACTACTTACGTGTCTGTGAGCATCTCAAGGACAGGAACCACTACCAACTCTGCTTGTTTCCTCTGTCAACCTTTGTTAGGTTTTTTGAATGCCAACATCTGGACCTTTTCTCCCATGTGAGTCTGCATGGGGGACAGAAGGAACCTCCTACTCTGAAAGCCAAATGACAAAATGCTTAATGACAACCTCCCTTCTCCAGCACATGAAGCAGGCACACATCTGCTCCACCCATACTGTGGATCAGCTCTGAGGTGGCTGGTCATTCTGTGAATGGTGAGGTGCCACATCTGGCTTCCAGGGCAGAGGAGGAAAGAACACCTGCCACTCTCAGGGAGGCTGGCAAGTCCCTGCTGGGTTGGTTCTAGAGAGTGAATTTTAGCTGTGGTCCTGGCTGCCCCAGCCTCTCTTGATTGAGTCTGTTCTCCAAGCCTGACTCTCCAGCTTTCCCAGGCTTGTTGTAAGCATCCCCAACATCTTGTAAATAGATACCTTTTCACTTTGAATTCTCCTGAAATTACTTCTATAGCTTACAAGAATAAGAATCCTGTGTTACACATAACCAGAATAGCAGGCAAAGCAACAGGGCTCAGACTGGAATATTCCAAGAATCAGAGGAAATAGCTACCTTTACAAAGAGCTTACTATGCACCTGGCACGGAGTTATAGGCTTATTGAGCTTTATCCCAGTTAATCTTCACAATAAGCCTGTGAGATTGGCTTTATTATTCCCATGATCAACAGGACTCAGAGAGAATAAGCAACTCACCTAGAGTCACACAGCAAGTAGCCAAGAATTTTCTAGTGCTCTTAGATTCCACTGTCTCTTAGCAACATCAGCTCCCTTCACGATCACACACTCCTCTCATGTGTCCCTCTTTTGACTCACTGTGCAGAGAGAAGCCTCTCCACACCCATCCCCAGCCACCCTCTCAGTCTTCTTCTTCTCAGTATCTTCCCAGAAGTGGAAGAGTTCCCCTACCATGCCTGTTGAGGTCATGTGTCACCAAAACAGCACTTCCCAAAAGCTAGAGCCTCTCAGGCTCCCAGGCCACAAGCCTGTCTCCCCTCTGGGGATCACAGGGAGTAAGGGTCATTGGCACTGAGGAAGACCCCAACTCATACCTCCACAGGGACCACTACAGTCCTTGCTTCTATCAGCCAACCCCACCTTCTCTTGGCATCACAATCTGCCCCTAACTCTCAGAAAAGTTGGTACAACCTCTTGGTTAGGAACAGAAAGAGACGGGTGCTGGTGGTTCATATCTATAATCCTAGCTACTCAGAGGCAGAGATCAGGAGGACTGATTTTTGAAGCCACTCCAGGCAAATAGTTTGGGAGACCCTATCTTGAAAAAACCCATCACAAAAAAGGGCTGTGGAGTGGCTAAAGTGGTAAGACTGCCCATAGAGCTCTTTCCAGGATTCCTCAAGACAATTCATGCAAAGCCCTTAAGTTGGTGCCTCACTCATAGCGAGCCCTTGATGTAAGTGTGTGACTGTGAGCATTGCTCATCACCCTTTGCCTAATTAGGCAAATACCTGCAAGACAGCTTCCTAAAGAGTTAAAATGGTGGTGGGTATTCCCGGACCACTTTGGAAGATCAGAATTGGCCAGCACTTGGAGTAACTGCCTATACTGCATTTTATGGCTTTATTTATTAACTTCTCCCCCTACCCTCATGCAATGCAGTCTGCCCTCACCCAGTCTGCACACTACTATAATAACTCCTGGCATTACAGCCTTCACTGTGTACCTGCACTAGGCAAACCACTCCTACACGTCATCGGCACAGTGACCATGCAAAATGGATGTCATTATTTCCATTTTATAGGCAAGAAAACTGATACTCAGAGAAGGAAAGTCACTCATTCAAGATCACAGGACCCAAAACTTGAATACATAGAAACAGAGCAAGGTGGTAACAGGGGCGGGGATGTAAGTGAGATGGGGCCTGTGTGTACACAGTTGCAGTTCTGTAGGCACATGAGCCTTGAAGTCTACTGGGCAGTACGAGGACTATGGTTAAGAGCATTGTAGAGGCCTGGGCTGTGACTCTGTGGTAGAACACTTGGCCAGCAAGCAGAAGACCCCAGGTTCAATTTCTAGCACTGAAAAAAAAAAAAGTATTGTAGAATATACTGGGAATTTGCTAAAAGAGTAGATTTTTTTGTACTTTTTTTTTTTTTTTTTTTGCAGTGCTGGGGATTAAACCCAGAGTCTTGAACATGGTTAGCAAGTGCTTTTCTGTGAGCTACAACCCCAGATCAATTCTAGCTATTGTTACAATACACCTACAAAAGGTAACTAAGAGATGATGATGGGTATGTTAAATTACTTGACTGTAGTAATCATTTCTCTCTCTCTCTGTCTCTCTCCCTAGACACACACACACACACACACACACACACACACACACACACACATAACAGAATGTTATGTTGTAAACCTTAAATATATATTATAATTTAAAAGAGCCGGGCACCAGTGGCTCACATCTGTAATCCTAGCTACTCAGGAGGCAGCGATCAGGAGGATCATGGTTTGAAACCAGCCAGGGCAAATAGTTCAAGAGACACTATCTCGAAAAAACCTATCATAAAAAAGGGCTGATGGAGTGGCTCAAAGTTCAAGGCCCCAAGTTCAAATCCCAGAACAGCAAATATATATATATATATTCCACCCTGATGTGGTAAAGCAAGCCACATATGTCTCTGTTCTGCCTGGAAATCTTTTTTTTTTTTTTTGCAATACTCAGGCTTGAACTCAGGGTCTACACCTTGAGCCACTCCACCAGGCCTATTTTTGTGAAGGTACGACCTCATTAGTGCCAGAGGGATTCATACCTAGCTCCACTTGAAGTCCTAGTTTTTCATGAAAATTGTTCGTGTCACACAACACTGATAGCTGATGTTTCTTGTTTCCAGGTCAACCAGTAACTGTCTGCCTCACATTGCTCTTGTTTGTACACTAATAAAGGTCTTATTGTTGAATACATTAAAAAAAAAAAGGATTGGGGAAATGAGCCAT